GCCCAGTGTATCTTGCAGGGGCCCCACATTTCCTGGCACCTTCTTCATCCTCCCTATATATTTGAAAAAGGACTTTTTATTATCCTTGATCTTGGACGCTAGTCCTAGCTCTATGTCCGCCTTAGCTTTCCTAACAGCCCCCCTACAGGCCCGAGCAGTGGAGGTATACTCTTCTTTGGAGATAGTCCCCCCCTTCCACCGGGTGTACACCCCAAAAATGATTGGGTCCAAGTGGTTGCTGGCTAGGCTAAAACAAATCTCATACTATTAGGTAAATAGCAGAGGTGTAACTAGTGATTTTTGTGTTCTGGCCAAAGATGGGAGTCTTATCTGAACCCAGCACCTAGGCTTCTGCCGCCATTGTTGTGCTAGTTCCTGGGACCCTCTCTGGCTGCTGCTGCCACAGTACCGTACAGGATTCTAACACACTACTGTTGCCATGGGTTTTTGCACCATTATTTTGGCACACCTAAATCAGCACCTGGGACTGGTGCCCCAAGTCTTCTTAATGGGAATAGGATGAAGGGATTTCATAGATTTCATAGAAATTAGGGCTGGAAGGGACCTCGGAAAATCATTGAGTCCTGCCCCTTGCCCTAGGGGCAGGAAGTCAGCAGGGGCCATAGGGTCCCAGCAAGATAAACATCCAAATGTCTCTTGATGACAAAGTAGGTGCTTGAACCACCTTCGGCAGCAGTCTATTCCAAACCTGGGGGGCTCGGACAATAAAGAAGTTCTTCCTTATGTCCAGCCTGAATGGTCATGGAGGAGTTTGTAACTGTTCAATCTTGTCATCTCTTGGGGTGCTCTGGTGAACAGATGTCCCCCCAGATCCTGGTGAGCACCCCTGATAAACTTATAGGTAGCCACCAGATCACCCCTGAGCCTGTGCTTTTCCAGGCTGAAGAGTCCTATAGTTCTCAGCTTCTCATCATAAGGTCTGTTTTCCTGACCTCTGATCATGTGTGTGGCTCTTCTCTGGACTCTCTCAAGCTTCTCTACATGTTTTTTGAATTGTGGAGCACAAAACTGGATGCAGTACTCCAGCTGTGGCCTTACCAAGGCTGAGTACAATGGGAGAATGACGTCCTGGGATTTGCTTGAGAAGCATCTATGGATGCAAGTCAGTGTTTTGCTCGCTTTACTAGCCGCAGCATCACCTTGATGGCTCATGTTCATTTTGTGGTCAATCATAACTCCTAAGTCCCTTTTGTCCGTAGTGCTAGCCAGCATAGCACTGCTGTGTCTATAAGCATGCTGCAGGTTTTTCTTCCCAAGGCAGAGAACCTTGCATTTTTTGGTGTTGAACACCATCAGGTTCTCATCTTCCCATTTTCTGAGCCTGTCAAGGTCAGCCTGGATCACCCTCCTGTCCTCAGGTGTGGACGCTTTACCCCAATGCTCCCTGCAGGTCCGGAGCAGTGCAGAGTATTCCTTCTTGGAGGTGGATCCAGTCCTCCATCCTTTGTAGGTCTTTCTTTTTAGATGCTGGAGGTCTGCTAGTTCCCTGCAGAGCCAAGGGAGCTGCTGTGCCCTTTTGCTGCCTTTCCTCTGAAATGGGATAGACTTTGCTTGTACATCCAGGATCGGTCCCTTGAGAAGCAACCACTCATCCTGAACTCCCCTCCCCTTTGGGTTGTGGTTCTTTAGGGCATCACTGACAAGCCTCCTGAGCCTGCCAAAGTCAGCTGTCCTGAAGTTGAGGGCTTCTGTATTGCTGACTGATGTGCCAGATTTACGGCGCATGGTGAAGGCGATCAGCTTGTGGTCACTGTCACCCAGCTTCCTTCAATCATTACGTTGCTGATTAGGTCGTTCCCTATTGCCAGTACCAGGGTGAGCAGCACTTTACCTCTCATCAGCCTGTAGACTTCTTGCGTCAGACAGAGCTCATCCACACTAGAGAGAAAGCTTAACGATCATTCGGATGACCTACCTAATTTTGGTCCAGTGAACGGAAACATATAAAAATAAACCTGGAAGGGACCAGCAGTCCTCTGTAATGGTCAGTAACTGGATGTGTCTACACATGTACTTTACTGTGCAATAGACTAATTTGCCTCACAGTAAAGTATCACCATCTACACATGCAAGGCAATTAGGCTGGTGTAGACTAATTTACTGTACCATCAGATAGTCCTATCAGACACAAGTACTATCTGACAGTGGGTAAATTATTGCACTTAAACACACATGTAGACAGTGACATCTGGATTAGTTTACTTTGTGCCAGACTTTATTAAGTCGCATTAATTGCACATGTTGACATGCCCACTGTATAGTAGAAATTACGTCTAGAAAGGTTATAAGCACATGCATGCTATCCTTGCCTCTAGGGGTGTTGGTTGTACTGGCTTCCTTCCAATCCATGAGAGCACATAACTGCAGATGCTTCCTCTGCCTGAAGAAGGGTGTTTATACCCGAAAGCTTTCAAAGAAGAATTTTTCCAACTATTTTAGTTGATCTAATAAAAGATATCATATTTACCCAAAGAACTTTGTATGCCTATGTCCTTGCTTCCAGTATCTCACAGACAGAAAACATTCTTGTATATTTTAAAACTTAGACTCTTTAAGACAAAGAATCTCCAGTTTTAAAAAAACAAGATTGTACCAAAAGCAGAGAACAGAAAAGACCAAAGACACCAGCAGCAGCTTGGCTTCCTGCAGTGGCAGGGAGTCTGTTAGGTAAAATACATCCACATAATCCAGGAAGTAAACTTTCCCCATGTTAGAAAATAAGGCAAAAAAAAAAGTTGTCGTTAGTCTTACCTGGGGGAAATATCTTCCTGACACTAAATCTTTTTAACCTCAAGCATGTGAATAAGCCATGTCAGGCAGGTACCTAAGAGATTCTCAGCCCATCATGACTGGCCACTTCTTGGTAGTAGGATGCTTCTCCCAACCCATTACTTCTCCCAACTATATGTGGTGTTGAGAGTGTAGGTAATGGTCACTATTTTTTCTTCTTATAAAATTCATCATTAGCCAAAGAAACCCATTTGTCTAATACAGGGGTTGGCAACCTATGGCTCCTGGGCCATATCTGGCCTGAGAAGGGATGGCGTGAGCTGGGACAGCAGAGCCATTCAGCAGTGGGGAAAATGGGAGCGGGGTGAATTGGCAGGGGTGGGGAGCAGTTGGGAGCGGGGTGAATTGGCAGCAGCCGTGTCACAGGCAGTAGGCAGCCTTAGATCAAACTCCAGTCTAATTTAGCACACAACAGCTCAAAGGTTACAAATTCCTTGTCTAAAATGTTAAAAGTGTCTCGGATGGCCAGAGCCGACTTGAGGTGATTTAGAAATTACTCGTTCGTTGGGCGGGCTGGTGAATGGAGAGGCAGACAAAATGTAATGGTTTCAAAAAACTTTACTTACACCGCTTGTAGCCGCGACGCAGACGGTCCGGTCGTCTGAACAACTGTGTGAGTTGTTCCAGCTGGTGAGGCCCAAGCCAGTCAATCCGTCCACAAATTAAGCAGGCGGGGAAAGGGTACGTCGAGGATTGCGCTCGGCGACGGGGAGAAGAATCGATAGGTGATCAGTCTATCGATCAGCTCAGCCGCAAGTCAGATCTCTTTAGAAGCACTCTGCAGCGCGCTCAAAGTTCTCTCCGGGGGGGGAAGGACAAAAAATTTTAAACTGTCTAGAAAGCCAATTACTAGCCGCCACGTAGGAATAATTTAGAACTGGCCAATAGCGGGACACAAATTTGCATTCAAATGGCGGGAACTCTCTTGCACTGGGGTTTTTCTGTTGCAACAAAACCTTTGCTGTGCAAGAGGCTCTCATGTGGCGGGAAAATTCCATTGTGCCGAGGCACCAAAATCACTGGGTTGTGACAAAAAGAACTCCCAGAGGTCTACCATGACATCAATCATGATGAACTGAACTGTTGTATATAATGACTAGCAATCAAGGAAGGGGGTACACAAAACATACATTGTGGTTGCAACCTTTTGAGAAACAGCAACAGCAGATATATTGATACTGGGCACGTCTACATGTTCATTAATGCACTTTAGGTAATGCAAATTAAATCTAGTACCTCCCTGGTGAGGTACTAGAAAAAAAGCACATTAGCTTATTTTAATGTAAATTAGCTAAAGAGCACAGTTTTTGTGATGCTTTAATGCACATTAAAATAGGCTAATGCATTAAAGTGGACATAGAGACATGCCACTGGCTGTGAAAGTTGATTTGGTTTAGATAGCACAATGTTGAATACTGATAAAACTGTTCAGTATGATGAGAGAGTGAATGAATGAATGCATGAGCATGCAAATAGCTTTTGCCTAATTTTAGATACAAAGAAGATAGTTTTGTTCTGAATCAACCTGTGCAATTAATTTTGGTAGATTTTAAATAATTTAAATATTTTTTGATCAGCTAAATCTAGTAGCAGTCAAATTTTCTCCCCTTCCCCTCTCTCCAACAATTTTGATTTGTACATGATTATGTTCATGCTATTTGATTACATATATACTGTTTTTCTTTTCATTTAGGCATGTCAGCTTACTAAATGACTTTGTTGAGTCTGAATTGTTTGTGATTGATGGGGATTCTTTACTTCTCATGTGGTTATACAAAGAGAAAGAATATCTACCCTTCTTTTATCTAGTTGAATGCTTTCTGCTTGATTTCACTCAAAAAGGAGCAAAATATATAATCGTCTTCTTCAAGGTACTAAAACAATACATTATTTACATATATTTTAAAACACTGGACAGTTTCAAGAGTAATTGTTTGATTGTAATGAAGGAATTTCATCTCTAGGTTTTTTTTTCTTCTAATCTTGATTAATTAAGGACCCAGCTATGCACCATCAACTCCAGTCAGCCTGCAAACCGTCTTCTAGACCAGGGTTAGGCAACCTTTTCCAGCTGTGGGCCAGAATGAGCCTTACTTTCCTTTTAGTTTGCATTTCCTTCCTCTTCAAGGGTAGTAGAAGCCATAGAGTGATACTTCCTAGAATAATTATATATAGATATATATAATTGTTCTGTGTCCCAAAGACACATGCTGTATACCCTGGCTCCATCTATCCCCGACACGTGCACAGGGTTTGGAATCCTGGCCTTCAGTGGTCTTCTACAAGGACTTTTGCAGATTAGCAAAGTGGATTAAGGAAGAAGAAAAAGGGTATTCTGTCTTCCTTAACTGACATATTGGGAACATATTATTTGTAGATTAAACTTGCCTCTGCTCACAATTGCTTGACACTTCCCCTTATAAGACTTTGTTTTCAAGTGAAGAAATATAAAGTATTTATGTAATTAAACTGTACCAAAATGCACGTACACAAAAGAGATGAATTAGGATTGTACAGGGAAGCTTAATTCTGGCATTTCTTAACTCCTGGGTGCTTGACTTTGCAACCTGAAATTACTTTAAACATAATTACTTTTTAGATGTGATATATCAGTCACATCTTTATATAGATGAAGATTTTTCTTTGGGAAATACTGCATTTACTTAAATGTAAGATGACCCTGATCATAAGACAACTCCCCAATAATTATATTCTATATCCAGAAAATTATAGATTTGATATAATTTTCCAGATATGGAATTTAATTGTTAAAAGTATTCTTGAGTTTGTTCCCTTTCTGCTGCTACAGCAGGGAAAATAAATCTGTGGGGTCAGGTAGCCCCTTTGCCCTGTGCCTCCTGAACTACTTCCCTCAACTACTTTGCTGCTCCTTTTTTACTGTTAGATCCTGCTCTCTCTGAGCACATGGAAGTGAAGAACAAATTTGAAAAAAAAAATGACCTTGAACTACACATAGCTGTAATTATTAGCAAATAGTACCCACAGACTTAGTTCATCCAGTTGCAACTTTTAGCAGAGATGATCCAGAAACATACTATTAAGTAACACTGTGGCATGTCCTTATATATAATACAATTTTTGGGGGTGGGGGTTCTTAGAATTTTTTTATTCCAGGTCAAATTAGCCAAATCAGTTCTGAATCCTCTTGACTGAGAAAAACTCAACTGTTCAAACACCATATGTGGCACTACAACCAGCAAGTATCTTCTACACCAGACTTTTCAGCCTGAGGCTTCAGATACTCCCAAATCCATTGGCAAGCATCCTACATGCAGACCCACGCATGGAGGACTTGGGTTTGGATACCCCCATGTCTAACTTGCCCTTAGTCAATGGCCACAGGAGCAAGCTAGGGAGGAATCCTCAATTTCTGTAAAGCAGGCATGTAGCTGAGAGCCTCCTACTGGAAACTGGCCACTGGGAAGCTAATTACAAGATATGTAGGGTTCCCTGTCTACAGTACATTATACAGGGGTACGCCCATGCATGGAGGACTTGGGTTTGGATACCCCCATGTCTAACTTGCCCTTAGTCAATGGCCACAGGAGCAAGCTAGGGAGGAATCCTCAATTTCTGTAAAGCAGAAATGTAGCTGAGAGCCTCCTACTAGAAACTGGCCACTGGGAAGCTAATTACAAGACATATCAGGTGCCCTACCTACAGTACATTATACAGGGCTACACTCTCTACTACACAATGCTATTCAAATCTACCTTGGCCTGGGCAACAGAGCAGTGCCACTTGATCTGGGCCAAAAGGCTAGGAACTATGTGTTATATTAATCCAAAGCCAAAAGGCCCATGGTTTACCATACAGTTCACTGGGGTGGGTCCCACCAGAGTCAACAGCATTGACGCCATGGTGATTTCACTGCTCAGCACTGTTCAGTATATGTGTGTATTCCAGAGACCTCCTACAAAGGACCCATGTACTAATTAGCCCTTCACCCATGACTGAAGCCAGGCGTTCTTTTCATAAGTCCTGGCATCCTCCAAAAATGTATATGCAGATGAGGCATAGGACAACTTGGTCTGGCTTGACCTCATGGAGTGTGGGGCCACACTAAATGTATGCGACAGGCTGAGAAAGAGAGGCCAACAGAAAGGCCCTGTTTGCTGATGTTTGCCAGGCATTTAGGGCAGGTGAACAAACAGGAACCACTGGAAATGGGCAAGAAAGGCACAGCTCAGCTATAAGAGTAAAGAGGAAGTTGAAATATATGCAATATAGTGGAGACCTCCTACAAAGGACCCATGTACTAATTAGCCCTTCACCCATGACTGAAGCCAGGCGTTCTTTTCATAAGTCCTGGCATCCTCCAAAAATGTATATGCAGATGAGGCATAGGACAACTTGGTCTGGCTTGACCTCATGGAGTGTGGGGCCACACTAAATGTATGCGACAGGCTGAGAAAGAGAGGCCAACAGAAAGGCCCTGTTTGCTGATGTTTGCCAGGCATTTAGGGCAGGTGAACAAACAGGAACCACTGGAAATGGGCAAGAAAGGCACAGCTCAGCTATAAGAGTAAAGAGGAAGTTGAAATATATGCAATATAGTGGCTCACTATGAACTGAAAATGAGTAGGCTCTTAACAGGACTGAATTCAATGGGCACTACCATATATGTTATTCAGATGGGTTATACTAACCTGTCCTTGTGGTAGGTTCCTATCAGAATATCTTCCCAATACAAACCACGTACCTTACAGTCATACTCAATGTTGGCTGCATTTTAGTATCTTCACAATTGGTTCCCATTATTGAGCACATACTGCTTTGAGCAACAGTTCAAATATAGACACTGTATTTAAGGCTATTTCTTTGTATGAAAATTTAAGATGAGAGGCTTTGCTCCACATGCTGATTGCAGAGAAAGACCTCACTTTGTATTTCAGTAAATACAATAGTGCAATTTGTCCTATGAAATTTTCCTACAAAAAGAACAACCATATCATTCTGTACAACATTACTAACAATGTACAAGCACACATCAGTAATATGCAAAAATATAATACCTTAGTAGTTCTAAATTTTAAGCTGTCTGGGGCATATCTCGTGTGTGGGGAACATAAATATTAAATAATAATCTCTCTATTGTGTTCAATTTTTTACAGGATGCAGAACAACTGTATCATAATTATCCTCATATCCTTTTCCTACGTACTACACTAATACAACACCTGAAGCAGAACACTGACATCGACATTCATACAGGGTTCTTCAATTGTTTGTCACCAGAATGGCAGATTTTTCTCAAGGAAATTTATCCGTACTTCATGATAATATCTGACACAGGACTGACCTCTCTCCAAACAGACTATTTACAAATACTTATCAGTCACACCTTGTCAAAGAAAATAAATGTTGTGCTCACTTCAGGACAGGAGTCTGATACTCTTAGGGTTCATGGATATCATGTCCGGAGCATGTATATGCACAGGAAATTTTTTCAGCAGGTAAATTACACTATATCTCCAGTTTGGGTTTATAGTAGAAAAAATGTAGCATTTCTATATGGTATTATTAATTTAATTGGAATATTTAAGTGTAAAGCAAGTATAATATCTGGCTCACCTTTCATAGGAGGATTTTAAAGAACTGAATAAAAGGAAATTCCTAATCCTTCTTCTCTAAGAACATGCTTAGGATGCTCCATAGGATTCAGTGCTATGTGGATCATCCATTGTTCTTTGCCATGGGAGAATGGGGAGGGCGACTAGAGCCAAAGAACAAAGTGTTGCTGTAGCCTAACGTAATCTAGTCCAACTAATCAGGTTGGGCTGTGGATCTGGTCCATATTAATGCATGGTCCAATCCTGCTGCCCACATATCTGCTAGGAAGTACAGTATTTTCTAGATAGCTCCACTGAAGTCAGTGGGGCTAATTCCCTTGTATGTTAAAGTAGAGTTAAGCACTCAGGTTATGTAATTGCCAAAGCACAGAACTTTTCCAAGCTAACCCAGTAAGTTAGTGGTAGGACCAGAAGTAGATCTCAGACTTTCTGAATCCTAAACCTCAACTTTAAGAGGAGCATTTCTTCTTCCCTAATGTCTATATTCAAAGAATGTGTCTTGGAAGAAATGTAGATCATGCACTGTAGCTCATATTAGTTGTTTTTCATAGGTTCCTCATGGTCTGGACTTTTAAAGCGCCTGTTGAAATGTAGTTTATAAAGCAGCCTCAGGGACCTCTGACCAACGTGTCTACCCTTTCTATGTTCCAAAGCAGAGGAGATTCAAAGCTCAGTGACTTCAGTACCTCTCCATTTACTTTGGTAGCCTTAGATCAGGTCCATATTTTGGTTAATGTAGGCAGTAACGGATAACACTTGAGTTTAGGATCAGGATTGTGGTGTCCCTCTATTGTGACAAAGGAATTTCCTTCAGAAGTGATGTAACCTGCTGACTAAACATGAATGTCTGTCTTCACTTATTTTCCACCAGTGTTCAAAACTAATAAACTGGATATAATTTTGAAAATGTTATCTTTGTATTTCAACATATAACTATGACTTACCTACTTCTTGTTTAGCATCAGAAAGATTTTCAACGTGCTTTGGAGACCTTGGTTAAGTACTTGCAAAACTCCCAGGATACAACATTGTGGTTTTATAAACATTTAAATCTGAGCTTGAAAAGTCTGCAAGAAGAGGTAACAATTATTTTGCTATTATTTCTCCTGTTAAAGTGTGTTCGCTGTGACAGTAGAAGTTAGATAATGAAAATGTGCTAAATTGTTCACTTTTTAGCAAAGAGATTGCTTGCAAGAAATGTGAGAGGCAAGAATCCTTTGGGTTGATATCTTTTATTGGATCACCTGCATGGCTGGGATAGACATAAGGAAGCTTTTATGTATCATAGTACCCTTCCTCAGGCCTCTGGGAGAGAGGCAAACACATCTGTCAGTCATGCACGGCAGAAAATCTAATATTCAGGATGGGGCATAATATTCCTCCAATTCTAATTGCACCACTGTAGAGCTGTTTCCAGCCAATCCTGTGGCTGGGCAGGGGCAGCTCTATCCCAGACCTGGGGCTGCCCCTAGCCTGATCTCTAGGATTGGGTTGAGGGTAGTCCTGGGCCATGGGGTTGTCCAGTGCCAGTGCTGACAGTTATCTGGTTGTTGGCACAGGACCTGGGACAGTCTTAGGCCAGTTGGATACCCATGGCTGCCTTAGATTGGTATCAACAAGATAATTGGAACTAGAGGTTGGAAACTAAGGCATGTCCAGAGCTGATTATGACAATCACCTGATTGTCAGGCATCTGCCTTGGACAGCCTCTGCTTGTAGACATGCCCCACATTCCACAGAAACCTTCCATAAAAATGTTCTGTATTACATCACATGTGGAACATTTTTGTGGATGGTTTGCCATTTATGGCACCACAAATTGGGTACAAATGTAGCACTCTAGCCATTTATGGCATGTTCAACATGTTAATCTTATCATATATGTAATGTGTGCCAGGGACCTTTGAATCTGTTCCCTAGGCAACCAAGAGAGGGAGATAACATGGAGACAGGAGCAAGTAAGAACAGAGCAGAGATCAGTAATGTATAGCCAGATCTGGCTTGCAGAGCTTCTTTAACTTGCCTGCCAAGCTCCAGGACCCAGCAGACTCCAGTGTCCTGAAGTGCTGTGCAGTTTGGGATGTGTGGAGGAGCCACAGTAGCAGCAGCAGCCTCACAGTCTGTTCTGCAGCAGCACTGTCACTCCTGGAACTTGGCAAGCCATGTGCTGAGGAGCAGCTGCAGCAGCAGGGATTTGGTCAGCCTGCCAACCAGACACAGTTTCCTGGAGTAGCCAAATAAGTGTTGTGCTGTGCTTGCTTAATTGCAGTGGGTGGGGGTGCTCTGTGGGTAAGAACATTGTTTTGGGTTTGGGGTGCATGGCGGGGGGATTTGCTTGCAATGCTGTGTGTGAGCAAGGACTTGGTGTGCAGCACTGGAGACTGTCTGTCCCTTTGGTTTGTTGAGGATGGGATTACTCTGGTTCTCCATGTGTCTCTCCCACTGCTGAGAAACTGCAAGGAGCTGTTATAAATTCCTGAAATTCACGTGGAAACAGTCTCTCTGATGAATTCATCATCAGTGCCAGGCAGGCAGTCCAGTAATCCTTGCATACATGCTCTCCTGAAGTAGCTAACCACTTCTTTGCCATGGCATTGGCAAAGAAAGGAAAAATTGATAGCAAGTGTCAAGTGTTCAGTGAACAGTGGACATATGATTAGTTTTTTATGCAATGCAAAGACAAAGTAGTATGCTTTATTTGCCAGTAAGTGTTTTAGTGTTCAAGGAGTACAACATCAGGCATCATTTGGATACACATCATAAAGAAAAGTATGATTGTTTGGTAGGGCAAGCTAAGAGTGACAAAATAGAAACTCAGAGAAACAGTTTGTCTAGTCATCAGTATGTTTTTAAAAGACACATTGAGAAAAGCCTAACAATTATTTGAGCTAGTTACCATGTGGTTAAGCTGGTTGTTAATCATGGGAGACTTTTTACAGATGGAGAATTTGCAAAAGAGTGTATGATGGAAGTGATTGATGAGATATGTCCCTCTTCAAAAAAAAAAAAAAAAGATAAATGATGTGAATCTTTTTGCTCATACTATGAAAAAAAAAATTGGAGATATGGGGATGGATTTATTTTGCATACTGAAAGAAAAGGCCCAAATGTTCCTTTGGGCACATAATAAGAATAACTATGTGCTAGATACAGCTAATATTTGTGTGAGGAATACACTCAAAGTTTGAAGTTACTGAAGAGCTTGGTGCACTTCAGATTTTGAAGAGGACAACCAGAGGAGAAGACTTATTTCTCAGGGTTTATGAAACAACATGCTTCACCTGAGCTGGGAGAAACTGGGCGTGTCTATACGTGTATTTACGTGTGCCTAAACTTAATGCACCTTTGGTTACGGTGCATTAAGGCCATTTAAGTGCTTGTCTACACGTGGATATAGTAATGTGCATTAAGGCATGTTAAATTTGGGTGCAAATAGCTAAGTCACATTAGAGCACGTGCAGACGTGCTAATAAGTATTTGCACCTAAATTTGATACCTGCTTTATGAAGGTATCAAATTTAGGCTCGCGTAGCCTTAAATCACCATTTTTAAGGTGGATTAAGGATGCGCATATGTAGACATGTGCCCTTAATGTGCCTTAAAAATGGCAACTTTAGGCTAAGCCCACTTAAAAGAGGCATGTGTAGACATGCCTGCTGAAAAGCATAACAATGGATGGTGTGCAAAAATGAAAAGAATGCAAGGCTGGGGTAGTAGGATAAATCAACAATGAAATGTAAAAATTAAATGCTGATCCTCCTATGCAGCTTCACTGCATCATACCCCAGCAGTCATTGTGCACCAAGGTATTATGTTAGGAATCACTCATAGGCAATTTTGTTTCAAGTGTGAATTTCATCCTGGGCCATGGCTTAAACTGTTGCCAATCCAACAGTTCCTTGCTGATGTTGAAACACAAGACAGAGATATCTTGTATCCTGCAGAAGTGAGAAAGCTCAGTCAGGGTGAGGTTTTTAAACATTTCTTCCAGATGCGAAATGAGATATATTTATAACAGGGAAAGGAAAGCTGAAATATCTGAGTCTGCGTGGATTTGGGACTTAGCATTTTTAGTGGACATAACAGAATTGCTGAATGATCTGAATGTGAGACTCCAGGGGAAGTGAAAACTATTGCTTGAAATATTCACTGATTTGAAAGCATTTCAGATCAAACTGAATGTTTTGATGAAACATATACCTGAAAAAAACTTGTCACATCTTCCTAGTTGCAAAAATATATTGAGTGAAGATGGAGTCAATTTCACAGGGCAGGTTTACTGAGGCTTTGTATTCCAGGAAAGGTTTAAGGCTTTCATAAGTATTCAGAAGATTACTGTCTTTTTTAAAACCCATTTGAATTTGACATTGAAATTTATTAAATGGGGTAGATCTTCAAAAGCAATACATTGAAAGACTTACAAAGCAAGCGCCATTCAAGTTTAAAGAGGTTTGATGCTGGCATGAAAACAATTTCTGGGAGTACTTACATCTGTGAACGCTTTCTCAAAAATGATATTAATTAAGTCTAAATTACAGTCAAGATTGGCTGATTATTACTTGCATCAGGCTTTAAGCAACATGAATACCTACATCCACACTCTTGCTACTGCTCACACTGACTGTAGTGAATGCAAAATAAGAATAAAGAGAAAGTATTCAAATTATATTTCATCCTTTTATTTGTTTTTCAAAATTTCATACAACTCATTCATCCAGGCAGAATGCCACTGCCCTGTAACTGAGCTATATTTATTCTGATCCTCTTTATTTAAAGGTTCATCTTCAAAAGAAACACTGGAGAAGAGTCAGATGAACACGTAACCCATAGCTGTGTGGTTTGAGCAGTGTTATGTCAAGAGAAAACTGAGGGGGAATTTGATAACAGTTTTCAAATACCTGAAGGGTGGTTATGAAGAGGATGGAGATAGATAGGACTAGGAGAAGTAGCTTCAAGCTGCATCAGAGAAAATTTAAATTGGAGATTAGGAAGAACTTTCTGACTATGGGAGTGGACAAGCATTAAAAAAAGGTACCTAAAGAAGTTGTGGCATCTCCATCCCTGGATATTTTAAAGAACAGATTAGATGAGCACTTGGCTGGGATGATCCTCTCTTGAGCAGGGGACTAGATTAGATCAACTCATGAGGTCGTTTCCAGCCCTACTTTCCTAGTATCCTATGATCCAAAGTCAGAAAGATGCAGGTTCAGCCCATTTAGGTGAGGGGTGGAGGGGGCTGGTCGTCTACTTCCCGGGAGAGTATTCTAACCATTCAGCTATGGGAGCTGAAACATGGGACCCTCCTTCCTCCCTTAACATATGTCAGTATAGGTACCTGGCTACTGCAGAATCTACTGAGCATGCTCAGTAGTTTTGTGGATGCTCACACGTACGCATTGCCTGTGGAGGAGAATCACAGATTATGCCTAAGTGCCAAAACCTACGTGTTCAAAGCAAAAAGTAGTTTATTTTTTAACATTCTTATTCTGTTTTTTAACATTTGTATGCATTTTCGCTTCTGTGCATTTTTATTTGCTGATTTTCTTTACTAACTAAATTATATCAAAGACATTTTCTTTATAATTTTTCTGTTTACACTCAAGCAATAAATTGATATATTCTATCACATTATCACTGTAGGTATGCCAGACTGTCCTGCTGCTGAAGCGTATGTGGCCAGAAGGATCTAACATTAGACAAGTTCTCTGTGTTCTTACATGTGCAGTGGGACTAAAAATGTACAGCCACATGTTAGAAAATGCAAACGCTTCTGCAAAAGAAAAGGAAGGAAAAACAGAACACTTCCCTCTGGAGGTAAAATTTCTTTATAACTTCTTATCATGTTTTGGTCCTGTCAGCATAAGCATTTTGGTCATGTTGGAGATGATAGTGCCTCTACTCTAGTTTTCTTGCTGGAGAAGGACCCGGTCACCCATTGTTCCAGACCATCCAGTGGTCTAGGGAACTTCTGTAAGCCATAGTATATGCAAAGAAACAAGGTCTGCAAGTGGATTGCATTAGGTCCCCTAATGAGAATCCCTATGAAATATGTGGGGTTTATAAGTGAATGCCATGGGTGCATCCATGAGAACTTTTACCAGAGGAGGAGGCCATGTGGTCATTATTATCTTCTCCTATTCCTAATACATAGTTGAACAATAACCATTGTAGATGGAATATATATTTTTTCATATTAGCTGTTTTCAAGGTGAGGGTAAGGTCTAGAGCCCTTCATTTTAGATACAGACACTTCTCCATATCCTTTTTGTAATTAGTTTAATATGGAAGCAAGGTAATCACATACATGTAGAGATGCAATCTTGCATGATTGCAATTACTTTTTGAGTATCTCTAAATTAATTGGTATTGCTTATACAACACAAATTTATGCTCAAAACTTATGTAGAATAAATGTAGAATGCCTGCAGCCATCTAACTAAACATTAGCTAGACGGCAGGATGGAAGTTCACTTTATAGACTAACCGAATCAGAGATGCATAAGCTTTTGTGAGCAATAGCTTACTATCAGATTCTGTAAAAGATCATACAGAGAGCAGCTGGCTATCAAATAGAAGGAGTGATTTAAATACAAAAGATGAGGAAGGAGCGGGGAAGGGAGGAAAGAAGGACAGAGGGCAGTGCTGAGTTTTGCATTCAGATTGATTTTTATAATTCCCTTGTTTAAGAACAGCTATTCTGAGGTTAGTGATGTAATGTCCAGGGAGGCTGAAGTGTTTTGCCACAAGTTTTTGTGTATTACTGGACTTGATGTTAGATAAGTGTCCTTTCATTTTGTCTCTCACAGGGGTTGTCCTGTCTGTCCAACAGAAGGGCCATCTTAAAATGATTTAATTATTATCCAGATAATTTGGCAATTGGTTTCTTAAATTTAATCTCGATTTTAGTGGCCATGTCCTTCCTTCTGGGAAAGAGATTTATGCTGGAAGTGCTAATTGATCTTTGGTTATTTAATACAACAATAATGTGTGTTATGAACTACATGCACACGTATAACAATAAAAGTTATTGGTTTCATTAACAAAGTGAAAGTCATGAATTATACTGTTGAAAGGGTAACATAATAGTTATTTTTTCTGAAGTATACAGCACCTCATGTTGGTCATGTCCCAATAGGAGAAGACTGGAGCATTAGCACTGGAAGATGCAGCTGACCTGTGCAGGATGCACTGCCTTAGTGTGGCCTTTCTTTTTCATTTGCCTCTTTCACAACGAGCTCGTATTAGGATCACCCATTCCCACTGGACTCAACAGGCTTTACCATTTATAATTATGGTAGGTGTAGTTTTTGCTTGCCTTTTTTAGTATTAGGTACAGTTGGTGCCTGTGCCTTGCATTTCCTTTTCTTGGTCAAACTACACCTGTTTATGATATGTGTTACAGTAATATTTTGGAAATTCTTTACAACTTGTCTCTAGCGGGTTATGGAATAGAGAAAATCCCACACAATTTACTGATTCGTTTTGATGCACTGGCTGGGGGAGTAGTTAGCTGATTGCACGATTTCACAATGATTACACACTTAATTTATACAACACAATTTTATTTTAAAATTCTTTGCTATGTATATAACACTGCTTAGCTTTAAGAAACACCACAAACATTAAGAACACAATAATTACATATATCAGAAACAATGCTCCGAATGCACTTCCTTCCCAAACAATGCTATGAGAATTAGTATTACAAAAACAACTACAATTACAACTAAAAGTTAAATTTGAATCAATACTATTATTTTTCATATTATACTTACAATCCTAGAATTCCGAGAAGCCAAATACCAAAATATGGTTTCATTCCTCAGTAGTACAATTTATGGGGTTGGCCTCAGTAGTACGATTCAATGGGCTAGATTCGTGTTCACGGAGAGGTTGGTTCAGGTGATCAATCTGATCCGGCCTACACTTGCGATTCTTCCTTCATTGTTCTACAAGTATAGTCACCTCCAAATTGGGACAGTAAGTTACAGTTTTTATTGAGTGAGCTGCCGTCTTGGGCCACTCCTACTCAAACCTGTCATTACTCCCAAATTTGGGCTCGGATCTTACTCAACAGATTCTTTTGCTTAATAATTAGTTTCTTTTGTTGAGCAATTTAAATTACTTTTGGGGAACGTCCATATCACTGCAAATGACCTTTTCTTACCAATCTGGTCAAAAGGCCCTAGGGTTTGATCTCTCAGAACTCAGGATATTTGCTCTTTGTAAAAGACTTCTAAAGATAAAATTTAAATTAAGACTTTAAGCAAAGTCAGGACCTTTTGCACGTAGTCCAAAAACAATGACTTAGATAAGGAGATAAATCTTATCTTCTTCCTGAAACTGGCTAATGGGCAACCATCACAAACATTCAAACCATTTCATTCAATATGACACAACTTTTAAAGTCACATACTGTTTGAATAGTTTATTGAAGTAGAGTGGTCTGGGGCATAGGGGGCTAGGGGCAGGTGTGCAAAACCAGGGTTATATTTTAAATTCTGCCTCTGACTTGCTATGTGACCTTTGACAATTAGTTCACCTCATGGTATATAACTTAACTAACTGTGAAAAGTGGCTAGCCATAACTTCTTTTATAAATGCTTTAAGATCTGGAGATGAAAAATTCTATGTAAGAATTCACTATTTTGTTTTTAATAGCAACAGCAATGTGCATATTTTATTCTGAAGCAACTAACTGAGGAAAGTGGCTGGAGATTAAATTTAACTTATCTGCCTGATTTAAGGGATAAGTCACTATTGAAGAATCTTGCATATTACTATGAAACAGAATATTGTACAGGTATTTATCTTTGCTTTTGAATCATTTGCTTTTTTAAATATCTGATTATTATTATTAGGCTGTTGTTGAAAAAGTACTATGGCAGTAGTTTTGCTAAGTATTAGATACAATAGTAGAGCTAATGTATGGAAAAATAGCCATGAGTCCAGGCACTCAAGACTGCCCAGACCCAGTTCCTCTTGCCATATTTTGACACCCCTATGGATGTGCAGAGCGGAAGATAGTGATATAGGCGATGAACGCTCTCTTCTAACTGGTGATTTTCTTAAGCGTTGGGGAGGAGGGGGGCTCTGCACATGTCTTGTTTTGTCAGAATAGTACAAAGCAAGTAGAATAGTAGTCAGGTTTTGATGTCAGTGCCATCAGAACTGTAGGTTAAATCTTAGCAGGTTGTATTGTTTATTTGTCTCTTTAAAATGGGACTTCTGTCTGCTCTATACTAGTATGAAATATTCCATAACAATTTTGGTAAGAATAAATCGGAGAACTGGAAATGTCTTAAAATATTGAAGCTGTGATTGTTATGTAATAACAGGGATCTGGGAGTTGAGGCTTTAAGCCTAACATCAGTGATCATAAGTCTTAGAGTTAAATGACAATAGTCATTCTTCAGGCTGAGAATACATATTTGTAGCAAGCATCCCTCATAGAGTTCCGTGCCCTCTTTTAAGGGTTAATTTGGGCCTGTGAAAACTATTTAATCAGTAGAATCACTCCTTTTTGTATCCAGTCAAAAACTTCAATTCTCTTGCATGCAACTCAAGTAAATGTGAAGGAGTAATCAAAGGTAGTATACATTAGGAAAATTGAAAATTCTTGGCTTGTTATATGATACCATCCATTGTTCTTTGGGAGTAAAAAGAAGTTGTGCTCATGCTTTCTGGTCCTGGTCTTCAGCTTAATACTAGGCCCTGCATCTGTTTTCTGTGTATTGACCAATATGTTTTCCATGCTATGTTTAGCTATCTTACATATATATACAAAGCGATAAAAAATTGTAGTGCGCCTGTTCTTGTAATATAAAGAGATGTCAAGATTAAGCCTCAGGATTCTAGTTGCTGTCCATGGTGATGCAATTTCTGTCTCATGGAATTTTGTTTCATTGTAAAATCTTAGTTTTTGTTTTTTTGTGCACAGGCTTAGATTTGGAATTGGGTAAGGACCTGAAGACTGAATACCATTATCTCTGGGACACTGTGACCACACTAGCTGCCAAGTGTAATTTTGGAGTTGCTTTCCCAGTGCGACACACTTCACATCCATTCCTTGAAGAGAAACAAAAAGTGAAAGATACTAGTAACTCTAAAAACACAAGCACTAAAAGCAAACTTGCAATAATTGGTATTTATAAAATACTCTGTATATGCAAATGCTGTACAATTATAAGCTAATTAGTTCTGCTATATTCTGCTCCTTCGAATTGAAGCCCCAATTTGTGGATCTTTTTTGCTTTCACTGATATTGGTGACAAAACTCCCATCTGATGCTAAACAGAATGTGATCAGTACACAAGCATATCCTGGCCTTATTTAAGTCAGTTCAAGTTTTGCCACTGACTGCAGTGAGACTAGGATTTTATCTTATGTGTTTGATTTTTAGCCCAGAACTGGCTATTTATGCTCAGTAAAAGGGATGGAGCAACATACTCACCTTTGTGTAGGCACCGTGATAGACAACAATAAACATGTCACTTGAAGATCATGTCACAAGCCTTAGCATAGAAGAAGGTGGAGGTGGACCAGGGGAATATGCCAAGAGGAGCTATGGTATATAGTGCTGTGAAGATTTCATGCTGTGTTATGGCCATAGGGTAACCATCATGGGTTATGGTAATTTAAACATAACTCTTTGGCTTTGTGATTTATACAGGGATCATGACACCCACAATTGGGGGGGATACATTGTGGGTGTCTTAAAGACATTTTATTTCAACTACCTTCTTCGTAGCAAGAATTGCATAGTTTGTTATCTAACATTCTGAAATATAAATATAAATGTTTTCAGGAAGCACAATAAAAGCCAAACAAAATCCCATCGAAGTCATTTGACTTCAGTGACCTTATGGTTAGCATTATGGGGAAATGTTTGTCTGTATTCTTTTATTGCGGAGCTCCTCTTTCAGGGCTTTTGTCACACCTTTCTCCTTCTATGTTGCTAGCAAAGAATAGTCACTTGCATCTAGTGGCATGGGGAGACACAATGGGAAAAAAGGCTCTTATTAACCCCAGTTAGGGAATACATAGTATGGCCTTTCATATTCAGGCTCATAAATTTAGTGTCATGATGCCATCACATTAAATACTCTTAATTGGACAAACCCTATATTATTTGTTACAAACTGAGATATAATACTCATAACAAACATTTGAAAGAAATTCACAGAATATGTGTACAACTTTTCATTGACTTTTCTCTACATTTTCTCCAAAGACTCTAAGGAAGAAATTCCCAACATAGGGCTTATCCCATTGAAATCTGATGTTGTCAAAGATTATGCTGGAGCTGTCTTGAAAGACTTGCCTTTTTTAAACAGGTACATTATTTAAATCTGTCTGGAATTAAGGGGCTTTTTCTTCACCACCTTGCACCTCGGTTTCATCATTTATACTTATGTCAAATGAGCATATCAGAGCTGACAAAGTACATCATTGCTACATCATCTGACAAAGCGCCTTCTGCCTGACTTCTGACTAATATGGCTAACCACCTCTAGCTATCATTCTGGTTGTGTAACATTTTACATCAACTAACATTGGTATAACTATTAACAGGAAATGCAGGTCAAGGGTAAACAGCTGCATTCTGACTCCACGGTATATTCGTTTTGTAGTTGCTGAGCCTATACAGTTTGTTTTTGAAGGGACCAGTCCTTATCCTTTGAAAGTAAATTGTAAAACTCTAATTGACTCCACTGGAAATGCACATTCATGCTGTATACATTATTTAAAAATACATTGAATAAAATTAGAGGTAGTCTACATGTTTTTTGGATGGAATACTTTAACCATACAAATGTTTTTTTATGGAGTACATCTCCACAAAAATCTTTTCCTCCACCCAAGGCAAAGATGGATTGCAAAGTTACTCCATGCAGGGAAGCTACCTCAACTCAATGTATGAAGTAGCTGTTTTATCTTCAAATAAATTGTTTTAAATGGAAGACCCCTGTGACAGTAGATTCTGTTTTGCTTGTTCTTTGGCTGGACTCAGCCACCTGAATTCCCATATAGGTGTGTTCAATGCCATCCAGAGTGCACTACTTCTGTCATGAACCCCAAAATCTAGCCTTTTTCTCCCATTAAATTGTCCAGTGGAACCTGGTTGTTTTCACTGGATTTGCCCATTATACAGGAATGCAACAGGTGCCAAATAACATGACTTTAAGCACTCAGATAATGTGTGTGTACGTCTATTACAGGGAGTTTCTATAATTTATGTATATACAAAACAGTAAGTGACTCTTCACTGAAGTGAAAGAAATTAAGGGATGGGGTATTATGTAATTCATTAGTAATTCTTATTGAAACAATGAAGATATCCAACTCCTGGAGCAGAATGAAATAATGGAAAATGAGGTACATGCTACAGAAAAGTTAAGAAAAATGTATAGTTGGGAATCTTTTGACTGTATATTCACAATCTTTACATTGGCCACCGTGGTCCCCATGCTTTAGGTAGGTTAGAGTGCTAAATCTTGTGTTATGTCAGGGTTGACTATGTAGTATTCTCAGATGTTAGGCAAGGGATTTGAATAGGATGATCCTTCCTCAGGTAGGGTTTGGACTAGATAATCCATGGAGGTCCCTTCCATGGTCTGCTTCTCTATGATTCTATGAAAATGCTTTCTGCAGTATTCTGACTATTCTTCTAGCCAGCAAGGGTCTATTTTATAATTAGGTGGTACAACAAACTCTACCTCTATAGGCAACTATACCACGCTCTCATGGTTAACCCAAGCACTGCCCTGTCTTTTCCTGCTATGCCTCGATTTTGATCATATACATTTGGGAAGCAGCCCTCCCTCTCACAGGGGGTCATCTAAAGTGCCTTACTCAACCCTGCTCATCACTGGGCCACCTTTGTCTGACCCAATCTTTAACTGATACCACCTTTGAACAGAGCATCTCTACCTTGGATTGACCCACTTTCTCCGTAGCCAGGACTCTCTTACTTTCCCCCAGTTAGCAGCCCTTAACCAGGGCTCTCAGTCATCACCTTCACACTCAGGCCTCTCTCTTGGGCTTGTAGTTTCCTGTCCTAAGTCAATTGAACCAAACATTCAGTGCCTTCTCCAGGCACCCACAGTGGCTTCCCTACTCCTCATTAAAGTCATCTCATGCATCAGCTGAATATAAAGAAAACCATCAATGCACTGACTAACCCCCACTCACGGTATGTGTACAACCTAAGTAAAACCCCGCCACTAATGGCTAGTTGTCCCTAACAGCTCCTCAGGGTTATATTACTACCTGCAGTTTGCAGCTACTAGTCACCAACCTATAGTCTTCCCTCAGAAAGCTACTCTGTCTGCTATAGTCTGGGTCAAACTGACTCCTTAGCCTAAGAGCCAGATTTACATAGTCCAAAGCTCCACCCCTTCCAGTTACCTCACCTCTCCGTCTCCTACCAGGGCACAGGGATTCTTTATTCCCTCATCAGAAGTCTGGAGCTCTGCAATTTTCAGCCTTAAAGTGAAGCCTTTTGTGTCTGATGTCTCTACTTCAGTAACTGGGATAGGAATCCCTGTTACAGTAGGCATAATGTTTGTTACACAGAAGGTACTAGAAAACCAAAAAATATTAATAAATATCACATATATACATATATACTGTATGTATTTTTCAGTGATGATCCTGCAGTTACTTCACTTATTAAAGAAAAAGAATTTGATGAACTTCGGCATTGGCATTCAGGCAAACTCCTCAGTGATGAACATGACAGAGCACCATGCAGCCATGATGGTAAAAAAAAAAATTAACACTATTTGCCTAGTTGGATAGAATGTGAGTGTTGTCAAGTTGTCAAAATTGTCATGGCTTAAGGGAAAAACAGTTTCAGAGAATTATTCAAACACAGTATAAATTTGTGTCAAATGGAAGTTATTACATTGATGATTAGTCTATTTACATTAAATATATTTTGCATGATTGCGTTAATCTACCTGGAATAATTATAACACAATCAAAGCTTCAAGAAACTTTTAATGAGGTCCCTTTTATATTTATGCAGATTTTGCACAGATTCAAATTTGCACACAGTCCAATTGTATATATGCAATTTGGAATGTACACATGGAGATTGGGTAACTCTATGTTATGCTATGCATATATTCCATTTCCTGTGCAAGGATGCAAGGCCACATTTTGCCATTTAAATAGCATTCTATTTCTCTGGTCCTGTTTTTGAATGAGAATAGCCATGCCACTTGTATCTGGTGCAGAGCTGAATTCTGTAGGCATATATTAAATGCTCTGAGCATGTCTGTCATACAGACTGGGGAAAGTGGAGAGAAGAGCCACTGCTGCCCCAGTCCACAGGGCAGCTACAAAAATATCAAATGAAACCAAATCAAATGGAGAGGTTGCCTGTCTAGTGACTTCTTAACACTCTAGCTAGGGATCTGTGAATATGTGTAAAGCCCTCATAGCACTATGTATTTTCAGTGCTACTAAGTGTCCAGCTACACTTATAGTGCTACAAATGCATATCTGGGTGCAGAAGAGCAGCTCTCCATTGCAACTTGTAATGCTTTGCAGGAAGCACTATGAATTGCAATGATCCCAACAGAAGTTTGCTGTTGGGTCTGGGAGTTGGGGATTCCAGCTTTTTGCTATGAGCCTGCAGCCTGATCTTGGTAGCAATGCCACTCTCCCCTCCCAGCTTGGACTGTGCTTTCAGAATGGGAGGGGGGAAGGGAGCAGACAGAACTCATTCTTAGAGTTCCCCAGCCGGTGCTGGAGGGTAGAATTGGTACCAAGGTGGAGGAGCTCCAATCCACCCACTCCACCCTCCATAGAATGAGGGTTCAGATTTTCATGGGATTGGGCCCTTTTAAAGTGGACTGCAGCCATGCACTTCTGTTTGGTCATGGCTGCAGACCACTTTCTGGGGCCAGATCAGATGAAAATTATCACCTCTGTCTGTGCCCTCTGTCTACAATGCAAGCCACTTGTATATTTTTGGAGTGCTTCTCCAAAACCCAAATTTGTCACTTTCAATGCTTGTAAAAAAAGTATACTTTTATTATTTGTTGTAGCAAAATCCAGAGAGCCGGAGGAAAGAAGTATACAGAAATTACAGAAATTTACAGACTTTATGGAAGATCGCTGGAAGGGGACATTTCCACGACAGTTGTCACCCAGGCAGATGTGCCACTGGTGCCAACAAGCACTAATGCAGTTGATGTACACAGAAAAAAATCACATGTAAGCGTGTTTGAATTGCTTTCTGTTGTATCTGTTCTTTCTTGCTGTTTATGCTAAGGTTTTTCTTTTGGTTGCTGATGCTTTCCTGGAATTTTATTATTTCATTCATGAGTAATTCTTATTGAAATAATGAAACCATCTAAATTGCATCTAAATTTAACTTGTTAACTGTCAAACCCACTTTTATCACTGCCTAGGAATGTGAATTAGTCGTTGAGTTTGAAATTGAAATAGTAAAAGGTAAGATAAATGTGTAACAACAAAGGAGTCCTCTAAAATATATATTTGAATGAGAACAAAAAATAAATTTAAGGGATGGTTAGCTTTTTTCTAGAATTGTTTCATAAAAAACTTGGAAAATTGAATGAGGATCTTGATGTTCATTTCTTCGTTTGCTGTTGATTTTCAGTTTGGGTAAATATGCTATTTTAAACTATATTGACCCCATCTACATCAAATATAGCTACAAAAATCATTTAGGAAAGGTAAGAGGCTTATGTGAAGATTTCAGACCTGAAAAATACAGGAGTATGACATGTTTATATTTTTTGTTGAAGTGTTTGTAGATTAAATTGATGTTACTAAGATACATTTGAATATCATGTTTTGACTCTTGGCAGTATTTTTGCAGGTTCAGTCTTCTGCTATGACTTGGATACATTGTTGATTAGACTAAGATTTGGGATAGCAAAAGGAAACAGTAGTTTGTTTTTGTTTTGATAAAATTTCACTAAATGTTCCAAGTTCTAGAATTTCTTTGCTTTTGAAATTGTAGTTTTTGATTTTCCTACTTTAGTCAGAAAGATAGTCTACTTTTATGTGATCCTGCCAGTATTATCCCCTTTTAAATGGCTGACTGCATGCAGTTTCTGACTTCCCAGGATATATAGATTACAGATTAAATCCTGATCAAATGTCCATTGCATTTCACAAGAATCTTTTAACTAACTTTATGAAGCATATTGTTTTCAATTTACTGAGAAACTAGGTAAATTTTCAGACTTAAAAATAAATCCCTTTAAGTTGAGATTCAAGCCTCCCACTTACTTGTTTTGCATGTCTCTGGCATTCTTACATAAATAACTGTTTTTTCATTTACATTTAGTATGAGGTACTGAGTGAACCAGTTTTGTAAAAGATGTACGAGTGTTTACAGATGTGATTTGCACAGCATTCTGTACTATTTTAAATAAAATTCCTAACAAAACACAATAAGCACATGAAGTAAAGTCTTATAATCATTACTTCAACTTTACTTGGGCAATACTCCCATTTACTCCCAAGGACTAGGACCAGCTATTACATCTTTTGTTTCTATCATGTTTTAAAATATTCTCTATTCATATTTTTGGTAGAAAAGTAAAGCAGAAATAATTAGAGAAGAAAACCAGAAGCAGCGAAAAGCTAAGCAGGAAAAGAAAGAACAGGAACAATGGGAGGCCCTGTCTATGTCAATTGAAAAAGAAATTAAAGAAGATGTTGCCTTTGGAATAAATAGACTGGAGAATTTCCTCAAGAAATGTCAGTCTCAATCTGTGAAATTTTCAGCAGAAATGGCAGGACTGCATGTGTGTTTTGACGTTTGGAAAGAACACTGCAGAAAGCAAGGTATGAGATTAGAGAAACTTGACCATCTCAGGTGCAATTTTTCCTCTCTCCAGAAATGCTTTATTTTGGGATTTTTTTAAAACTAGAATAAAAGAACATAAAGATGTTTGTAACATGCATTTGTGGCACACATTTGGAAAGAATTAAGTTTCTTTCTAATTGCTGGCCTGAATTTGGCCCTAGATTTGCAATTTTAAGATTCTGTGAGACTGATTTAAATTACCCATTTGACATCAGGTGTAATTACTTGTCTGCATTACCAAACAGCGCACACACGTTACAAGCATAAAACCTTTATTTCATCAATACTCAGAAGAAAGTATAAACTGTATGCTAATGACATATTCTGCTTCACTGCTAAGTGGCATTTACACAGCTGTTGGGCGTCTATGTTAGAAAATGGTATTCCTTTTTGCTTTGTGCAATGAGCTGAATGATGCTAAGGCATCTAGCTTTCTTATTTATCTTTATGTTTGTCCATATATGATTAGGAGTATGGACAAGAGTTCATTTGTAGTGCTACAGGGGCATACAAGTATTCAACTTTCCTTACTGGAGAGCACAAGTTGTCTCAACCCCGAGCTCTTCAGGTGGGGTTGATAGGGGTCTCCTCCTTTGGTCTCCTTATACGGACAAAAGCCTGTCAGCAAGGCAGCAGACGCAAAGAAGCTGGCTCTCTCCTGTGACTGCTTCCAGCTGGCATCTGCTCCTGGAAGCAGTGGCTGATTAGGAGTCTCCCCGACTGATCAGTGTTTGTGGCTGCTGGCAACAGCTGGCTGCATGTTTCCCATCCCTACCTCCCTCTTATTGGTGCTTCCAAGGTTGCCAGACCACAGGCTCTTGTCAGTAAGAGCACATGTTTTAATGGTTGCAGTAGCGCTGTGGGAGCCCTACCCATGCAGCCAGAACTCCAGGAAGAAGGCACGTGCATATCCAGTCAAACTGGAGCTCTTCTGGCCATGTGGCCATGACAGAGCTCCTTTTTTCTGGTGACAGAACCATCCCTTCCCCAGTCCTGTCAATCCAATGGGACAAGGGTAAGGGGCAATTGAGCCACCAGCAGAGCTTGAGTTCTGCTGGGCCCGTGGCCCATGACAGAGTAATTTGTGAATTGGGTGGTCAGCTGAAGCAGGCAGGGAGCAGCTGCACAGCCAGGAGATCTCCTGTTTTGCCAACTGCAGTGGCTGTGGTGTAAGTAGGGTCCCATTAGGACTCCCTGAAAGCTTGCCTACTGGGCAGGCTATTAAGGAGCTAGCTGTTCTCTCCCTTTCTTTTATCCCTCCCCATGGGAGTGGGGGAAGAGAGAGTGGAGGACTGTGGGATGCTGGGATTTTTAGAGCCCTCCATAGTGCTACGTGTAACTCTACAGGTGTTACGTGTAGTGCTATGAAACCTAAAAAGTCCTTTTTGAAAATACTGGATTTTTGTAGTGCTACAAATAGCTTGAATGCTTACTTTTTGTAGCACTATATGTTGATTTAGAGCTACAAATATAATGCCTGTTCATGACCTTAAATTTGCCTTAAACATGCATTCTCAGAAATGGCTCCAAGTACCTGCTGAGGCATCCATTTATTCTCTAGGACTCTCTTCTGAAATCACTTTCCCATAATACCTCTCACAACAAATCCACCTGCTACAGAAAGGTGGAGAGGGTACACCCATTATTGCTGATAAATTAGTTTTCAGCTCCATCTTTGTACTAAGATCAGTGTCCCCTTGCACTTATGTTGCTGTAGCTCATTTGGACAAAATCTTAACCTCTGTCTCTAAAGCGTCATTATTTCAGTCCACGTCAGTGTAATTGCTGCACCTGGTATTAAATATCTGTTGGGTAAAATGCCTAAAATTCTTTGGAGCCAGGGATAGAAGCTGGTGTACACTTCTTCCAGGATCACTGCCTAGCTCCTGTGATCACAGAGTTAGACTACCTCTTTCTTTTCCTCCTTCTGACCTTATGGCTTTTTTTCCCTCTTTTCTGAATGGTAGTCCAATCAAATGAAGTAGATAATGCTCATAGGCAGTCCTGTCCTGCTGCTTGGTAGTGAAGGCACTCTTTTAGTATGAATGAGATGTGAATTCAAACCCTTGTAAGCAGAGGGCAGAATCCAGATCTCCTGTACAAGGCAGGAGGTGTGATTGTGGGATCACACATTGGATCCAATTGCACCTTGCTGCCGGTGTAGGGGGAGCTTGATCTTGGGCTCCCCTGCACTGGCAAGAAGCAGGCTCCCACAGCTAGGGGTCCCCTTTGCTGAGGGGGCTCCAAGCCATGAGGGCCCTGCGCAGCTGGGACTGAGAGTCCCACAACTGACAGAGCTCCTGGTCCCTGGTACACCTAATGTGTGAGGCACAGCCAGGACTGAGAGCCCATCAATTGTGAAACTCTCAGTCCCAACTATGTGCTAGGCACAGCCAGGACTAAGAACCCTTCTGGTGTTGGTACTCATCAGTCCCATCTGCACATGTGGTGCAAACAGGACCAAGAGTCCCATGTGGGTTGAGGGTTTCATGCACCCCCAAACTTTGGGGATCACAGTAGCCACTATTCCCAGGGCTTGTGGGTTTTATGCTGGCACAGTAGCTGGGAGCCCTGTGAGTTGATGGGGGCTCTAAGCTTCTGGGGAGACCCTGCTATATGTGCAAATTAAAGCTCCATAGCAACCAGCTATAAAATTAGAACACATTTTTTAGGTTTAACTTTATAGCTGGTAAGAGCTTTCTATCATGTAATATCTACTTTGCACATCTAGCTGGTCTTAAGGTAATTGTACAATTAAGCAGTTAATCGTATGATTCCTGTAACATGTAGAAGGGGCCTCAGAGGGGGAGATGATAATAGATGCAGTCATTACTGTGGGCATCTGTCCTTCTTTCTCTGTTCTTATTATAAGTTCTGCTGAAACATCTAGGTATTATTCGATTAGGAGGAAGTAGAATTCTTATCATAACGACATTGTAGTCCAGGCTAAAATCCCCTGTTGAATGAATGGAAAGCTATGTGCTACATGGGCAACAGAGAACCTGTTTTTAAAGGTTTCCAATTTTTGTTTGTTGAAATGTATGAAAGAGCTGTACATTAGTCCGGTCACACTGGTTACTGCATGTAAAAAAGAAAAACTAAGACACTTTTTAGGGATGCAGTAGAATTTAGCCCTAAAGTATGTCTAAACTGCACAATAATGCAGGGTATAGAGATACTGAAATTGGTTCTAAACAATCTGAGAAACAGATAAAACAATCTGTTCCAAGCTGCAGACCACTGTGACCAAACAGTTCCTAGTACCCCTGGTAGTTTGTTTAGAGTAAGCTTAGATATCTGTATACTATGCTGCAGTGGGTGCATCTACACATGCACAGTTACTGTGCAGTAACTGAGGTTACTGAAAATTACTGCACAGTACAGGTGCGTGTCTACACGTGTGCACTTATACTGCCAGTAACTATGGTGACTTATTCTGAGTTGGGCATCAATTTGCTACCTACATAATGCAGGTAGCAAATTTATGCCTACTTAGTTACTGCGCAGTAAGGGACATGTAGACGCCATACTGCACAGCGACACTGTTTGTGTGCTTGGACTTGGGAGTAACTTTACTCCTAAGTCATAGAATACACAGTGTTACTGCGCAGTAATGCCTACAATGTAGACGCTGGTCGAAAAGCTGCTTACTGTGCAGTAAGTTACTCTGCAGTAAATTCATGTGTAGACACACCCAGTATGTAGTTTAGATATACCCAAAGCTTATTTGTGCAGCAGAAGGTACAGAAATAATGAGGTTGGGAGAGGCATTAGTAAGTGTTTACTTGTTGTTTGCATAGGAGTAACATTGTTACATGTTTATGATTTCCTTCCATTCTGTGAGTGGGGCTGCAGTAACTTCTGTCATATAACTCAAGCACAGAAAAGATCCATAGCCTCACCCCTGGGATTCTGAAAGCCACATTCTTTGTTGGTTGGACTGGGTCCTGCCAAAACAAACTAAATATGGAACAGTCCCTGCTGATTTGAACATATATCAGCTGCTTTATTTTTTTAAAGGTAAAAATTCCAAAGATCTAAGTATAGCTGTTCAAGTGATGAGAAGAATTCATGAATTGCTTGAAAAATATGAGGAACTATTACAGAAATCACATCAACAAATGTTGGCCAAGTGTCTGAACTACCTTGGATTTGAAAATTTGGCGTGCTCTTTATCCAGCCAGGTAATTTTAAAGAATGCAATTAATTTGCCCCAGCTGAATAAATAATTACATGTTAACCCCCTGTTATGAAGGCATGAATAACATTTATAAATGCTTTTTCTTGAGATTATTTATTTGATATCATGCTACAAATTTTGGAACTATCTTTTCTTGTTCCACAGTGCTACATAGGCAACATGTCACAATGAGGTAAATAACAGTGCAAAGCAGCACATTGGGAAGTTGATTTACAAAAGACCACATTCGGGCCCAGTGGGTGTAAATCAGGGGCAGGCAATTATTTCAGGTGGTGGGTAGCTTAACGAGTTTGGTGGGCTGTTAAGGGCTGTGCGAGTGTGGGGGCTGTGTGTGCACAGCAAGGAGCCCCTGTGATAGAGACTGTCTGGTGGGGGCTGTGCCCTTCACCATGATGTGCAGTGCTGGAAGGAGCTGCGCCCCACTGGGCACCAGCATCTGAGCTAGGCAAGAATGCCCCAAGCTGCCCTGCCTGCTGCTGCTGCTGTCATTGCCACCGCCTGCTGGGGCTGTGTGCCATCAGGGGCATGTGTATGTGTGGGGGTGGTCCCCACACTCCCATACCCTCTTTCACACTCACATGCTGCTCACCTGAGCAGAGGCAGGGGAAGCTGAGCAGGTTCCTGGGGGTTGCAGCAGCGGCAGCAGCAGCCCTGCCTGGAAGCTGTCTGCTGGATGGGCCAGGCCCTTCCGCCCATGAGGGTGGGAGGGAGGCACAATAGTGTGTGTTTGGGGGTGTGTGTATATGTGGGCAGAAGCACTGGGCAGGGTACAATTCGTTGCTGGGCACCGTGGGCTGAATGAAAGTGCCCGGCAGGCCAGATGCAGCCTGTGGCTGTATTTTGCCAGCCCCTGGTATAAGTGATCAGAAAATGGGGGAAAGTGTCAAAGCTATCTAAGTTGTATCACTTGGATTTCATTAGTTGTGCCCAAGGAGTATCACACCATTTATATTACAAGGAAGCAAAAAGTAGCAGTATCTGTAGAAGGAGCTGTGATAATAAAGGTTGTGCCAATTGATTTTGCCTTAAAATACAATCAGTCGTAGGTGCAAAAAAGCACCTAACATGACTTTTCACTTATTAGAGGAACCTTTTCTCCGTGTAGTAATCGTTGGTTTAATGGGTCTCCCATTCGACCATTGGTTGCCTACTCAGTTCAGCACTTCTCACTAAAAATGGCCATGCAATAGGGGAGATTCAGGCCCTTATAGGCCGTTCTTTACTGCAGGGGTTGGCAACCTTTTGCTAACCACAGACCACTCCTTGCAACCTGGCCCATTCCCTGCTGTGCCCCAGTTGCTCTATGAAGAGGGTCTGATCTTTCCTCCTCCCTCCTGCTGCCCAGCCACAACGCACCCTCCTCTGGAAGACACAGTGAGACAGAAATTAGAGTGGCTAATTCCATAAGAAGAAGCTGCAGTATGTGGGAAGAAAGCAACTGGAGCTGGAGCCAGGTGTGCATGAACCCCTTGGCAGGAACCATCAGTAAAGGGAATAGCCAGCTATTAGTAAAATGCAGAACCTACAATTCTGGCTGGATCCAATGGCTAGGCTGCAATAAGGGATCAGTATGCCATTAGTAAATTACAGATCAGATTGGAGCCCAGCCCCAGTTCACAGGCCATAGGGTGTAACATGATGGGGTTCGAGTTGGTTAATGTGATTACAGAGCCATTGGTCATCATCTTTGAAACTCATTTGAAACTCATGGTGATTGGGAGGTCCCAGATGATTGGAGAAGGGCAAACACAGTGCCCATATTTAAGGGAAAAAGGAGCATCCAGAGAACAACAGACCAGTCAGCTTTACCTCAGTCCCTGGAAAAATCCTGGAGCATATCCTCAAGGATGCCATTTCTAAGCACTTAGAGGAGAATAAGGTGATTAGGAACAGTCAACATGGATTCACCAGGGGCAAGTCATGCCTTACTAGCCTGATTGCCTTCTATGATGAGATGGCTGGCTCTGTGAATAAGAGGAGACCAGTGGATATAGTGTACCTTGATTTTAGCAAGGCTTTTGATACTCTCTCCCATAGCATTCTTGCAGGCAAGCTAAGGAAGTATGGGCTGGATGAATGGATTGTAAGGTGGATAGAAAACTGGCTGGAGCTTTGGGTTCAGAGGGTAGTAATCAATGTCTTGATGTTTAGTTGGCAGCAGGTATGAAGTAAGTGCCCCAGGGGTCGGTCCTGGGGCAAATTTTGTTCAGTATCTTCATCAACAGGAGCTGGGGCACATGACTTATGAGGAGAGGCTGAGGGAACTGGGCTTATTTAGTCTGGAAAAGAGAAGACCAAGAGGGGATTTAATAGCAGCCTTCAACTACCGGTAGTGGGATTCAAAAGAGGATGGAGCTAGACTGTCCTTAGTGGTGGCAGATGACAGAACAAGGAGCAACGGTCTCAATTTGCAGCAAGGGAGGTTTAGGTTAGTGTTACAGAGCACAAGTTGTGCTCTGTTACTCAAAGGGGTGTGGGCAAGAAGTAGAGCAGCCTGCAGGTGGCTGCATTCCCAATCAGGCACATGAGCAGCAGGAAACTGCCTGATTGGGAACAGGGCACAGCTGTTTCTGATAAGAACGGGCCCTGATCAGCGGAGCCAGCAGTTTGCTGTAAGCAGCTGGGAGAAGAACATCACCCAGCTGGAGCTACTGCTCATGTAACATCTTGGAGGTACAGGGCAAGAACTATGGGGATGGCAGGAAGTTCCTGGTCCTGGGGCATGACCTAAAACTATACACTGCTGGGGCTGGATGGTATGGTGGGGCTGTTGGTGGTAGAGCAGTTCTCAGGAAATGCCACACCCATGCCTCCCCAGTGAAGGGTCCTAGAAAAGCCTCAGCCCCCACTGCCTTGCGGGTTACCCTGAGTAGGGCAAAGGCTGAGGGAGCACCCTGAAGTAAAATCACTGGGCCCAGACATTTGGCATGAGGTCTGAGGTGGGGTCTGGGCTGAAGAAGGTCTGGCAGAGCCCAGGTCCACGGCGAGGCCTGAGGCTCAAAAAGTGGGGTGAGATATCGAAAAGCCCCATTGTGGAGGCATGTGAGATGAGCTTGGGAAGCCCAGTGTAGGGCATGTGGGATGAGGCCCAGTGTGGGGTTAGAGGGGACCAGAACCAGGCAGGGAACTGGAGGTAAAGGGAGGGGCTGGGAGCCCTGAGCAGGTGTGACTGGGAGCCTAGTGTGAGGGAACAGGGATTGCGAGCCCAGCGTGAGGTCACGGGAGTGAGTCCCGATGTGAGGCACTGGAGTGATACGGATGCCAGCTGCAAGTCATGGGACACAGTATGAGGGGAGGTTCGGAGCTGTGTATAGGCCCTTAGCATCAGGCAGTTAAATGGACAGCCTCCTGCCTGGTTAACAGTTTTACATTGGTCATCAAAGGTGTGGCAGGTGAGACAGAAGGGCAGTTAGTCCTGAGACAAGTGGGCGGGCCAAGGATTAGACTGGCCCTGGGATGCCCACTTGTTATAGTTAGATATTAGGAAGAATTTGCTTACTAGGAGGGTAGTAAAACACTTGTGGAATTGTGAGAGATTGTGGAGTTTTCATCCTTGGAGATTGTTAAAACCTGGCTAGACAAAGCTTTGGCTGGGATGATCTAGTTGGGGATGGTTCTGCTTTGAGCAGGGGTTGAACTAGATGAGCTCCTGAGGTCCCTTCCAACTCTAATTTTCTATGATTCTGTGTTTGAGCATTATCTTTTCTTGGTACAAAACCGTATCAGTTAAAGCTTCATTGAAAGTGTTGCATTTGCAAATAAAAGTAAGGACAACTGATAATCTTGAAGACTGGTCCTGTAGAATCTGTATAACTTGAGACTCTGCAGTGAGTTTTCAAACTGCGTATAAGCCTGCCTTATGTTAGCAAAAAAGCTTTCTCTGGCAGATGAAATATCAATCAGCTTGAGCTTGGGAGGCTTCCCTTCTTTCTTTGAATGATGTTACATTGAATAAGATATGCAGCACAGCAATATGGTGTCAAGTCCATACTTTTGCTGACTGTGCCCTGATGTAGATCTCTAGACATGCTAAAATGTAGTTGGGTTTTTCTTTAATCAGGATTCAAATAGGACTCATCCACTCACTTTCAAGCATGTAAAACTGCTTATTAGTTACTAAGGGGATATATGTAAGTCTGAAATCTTACTAGTCAGTAGGGAAAAATACTTTTTACTAATCACTAAGGAGAAATCTCTCAGAGGAGAAAGAAATGTTACCTACTTTAAAGCAGGTGTGTCAAACTCATCTGGCCCTGTGGGCTGGATGAATGGCACAAAGCTGGTCCATAGGCTAGATGAATAGTATGGTTGGCCCTGTGGGCTGGATTGGGCCCATGGACCCCTGCCTGGACCACATGCTGAATCCAGTGCACATGGTGTTCACTCTGACCAGTCCAGAACTGTGCCACACATGGCATCCCAGAGTAGCTGGGAGCACAGGGGCACTATGTCCAGCATGGGTCTTGGACTGGTTGGAGCTGGTGCCACATACAGTATACATCATGGACCAATTGTGGCAGGCACTGCATGCTCCACATGTCCCAGGCCAGCTGGAGCAGGCACCATGTATGGCACATGTCCTGGACCTTGTGCGCTTTGCTTGGCACCAGGGGCACCACCAGGGCCAGTGGTCCATGGACCAGATCTTTGATGCCCCTGCTTTACAGTTACTGTTTCATCAAGGAATGATGTCCATATGATTCCACAGCCCACCCCAAGTCTCTGCTAATTTAGAGTCCTCTAATTGGGAGTTTTTTTGGTGAAGGAACTGAAAGGCAGGTGAATCTGCCCCACTTCCAATTATGGTGGTTGTGAAGGCTGTCAGGACACAGGATTGGCATCTGCTAATATTGCTATTCAGAAGAATCCATTCTTATGGGCAATTTGAAGGCAATTGATATGCATCTTAGGAAAAAACCCTGAAACATAGTTATTGTTGGCTAATAACAATTTTTTTTTTTTTATTATTTAGATGAAGCTGCCATACCAGAATTAACAGACTTAGCAATGAAATTTGTAATCAGTTTACCCTGGAATACCCAGACTTCGCCTATAAAAGCATGCACCATGTACATTCAGAACTTGAGGGCACATTGTGCACTCCCCATGTAGTATTCCCATGGACATCTGTGAGTTCATTCCTTGGTCAAGACTATGCTGTATAGGCTTGTGAATACAAGTGCTCAAAGTCATCTGAGTTCTTTTATGCAGTAGATTCACTTGGGAAGCTTGCACCATGTTCCACAGTTGAAAAAGTCTCATCCTTGTTTGCAGCAAATCTGTCTCCAGTTTTGAAACTGACTTGAATTTTAATTTGACCTTTTAGATCACAGAAAGAAATAATGAGAAAATAGTCAAATATGCTACTGAAATAGGAGCAGCTCGTTTTCAGCTACAATATATGGGTTCTTACTTGTTCAGAGATGAGAGGAGTGATCCAGATCCCAGAGTACGCCATTTTATACCAGACACGTGGCAGGTAATGACACATTGGCAGTTTTTATATACTGCTGCTACAAATTACTTGTCAAGATTTTCTTTCAAATTTTGCATGGAATAAGATTCAAGAATAACAAAATGCATATTTCATTCTCTTTCACTGTTGTAGGTCGTATCCTTTCCAATTTTTATTCTTCTTTTCTTTTATTCATTATATCTACTCCAGGTCCCACTCTTGCTTGAGAAAAGCAAGCACATACCCTCTCCTTCTGAAGGCACAGTAGCAACGTTCTGTTGTAGGAGATGAAACTTTATATGGAAATAGGTAGTCATACCAGCAGAGATTTATGTGAGATTAGGGCCTTAAAGGACTCTGCTCAGGGAATTAACCTGTTATTCTATTTGTCAAGTAGCAAGCACAATTATGGCATTCTCTACAGATAATTATAATAGTAATAATAATTTGATGCACTTGTGCATAATCTGAATATTATTTTAAAGTTACTCATTAAATTAATAGGAATATGCTAATAAAGTGCTAACCGTTTTTGCTATGTGAGGGTAGAGAGTAACAGTTCAATTACATTCAGTGTAAATGCTTTACATCATTGTAATATCAATAGCAAAATTGAAAAAGCCCCTATGCGTGCTATTTCATCGATTTGTCCAGGACAAAATCTTATTATCCTTGTGCCCCTAAAACTTCCACTGGACCAAGGAGGAAGATTTAATGCCCAATCTAAAGATTTTCATTAGAAAAATCCCTAGCCTGGAGAAGTATCTGCTTGATTGTTTACTGTTCCCCATTCCCGTGTTTAGGAAAAAACTAATCCAAGCTGCTGTATCTGCTGAAAAATGTCTGTTCACCTAGCCAATGCAGTAAACCTAATGCTCACTCTATAATAATTAGACAGGGTAAACAGGCCGAATCCAAAATAGCTTGCTTATTTCACATAATTGCATCTGTAAAAAATGTAACTTCCTTGAATAGCAACTTAGATTTGATAGATATGCAGGGGGAGCAGGAAGATGCTATTGCTATCTCTATCCTTTCTTCCATCCAGTTCCTAAAGATGTGTGGTAGGGGAAAAGGAGAAGAATAATGAAATTCTGGCAACTGGCAGATATGAAAGGGGAGAGGAAAATTAATGCTGGTGACTGAAAATAGGAGAGAGGTCTGGAGCTGAGCAATGCTATTGTAATCATTGTAACACAAGAATAAATGACTGCATCACAGAAAATGGGAAATTCTTTAGTTCTAAATGATACACAGTTGGGTTGACTGGTTTCATACTCATGTAGTTTCAAGGCCGAGACAATTTATAATTAAAAATGAACGTATGATGTCAAAACTACCACACTAGTTAAGAGAGAAGAATGTTATATTTGAACTTTAACAAGCAGACATAACATTATTTGTATAGCTTAAAATCCACGTGTAAAATATGAGGTGTTTTGACCTAAACTTTCTTTATGTTTAGTGAGAGCTTCTTGATATTGTGGACAATAATGAGTGCAGTGATAGTTGCTCCTACTTCATCTGGGAAAACCTATGCATCATATTATTGCATGGAGAAAGTTCTGAAACAAAGCAATGAAGGAGTAGTTGTATGTGTTTCTCCCACAAAGGTATGGCTACATATGACATGCATTTTACACTTACTTACCACACTGTTTTCTAATGTAATGATCTCTGCTTAGTTACTAAGTAGTCCATTGCTATGGTGCACAAACTAATAAGATTCCCACTGATCTGTACAAAAAACACTTTGACTAATTTGTCATCTATTAATTGGTAATTTCCAAATACACACACAGACTAGATCACAGTGGAATTTGCTCCCGATACCTGGTTAGCTTAAGAGGTGTCCATCATAGCATCTCTTAAACTAGCTGATGCTAAAATAAACCCATAGGATCTTCTTCAGTTTTTTGCTTGGCTCAACAAAACTTATATGATCAACCATGCTGTTTGGCAGAATTATCTTCTATTTTGGGAACAGGTGCATGTAAACATGCAAAACAAAAACCTTTGACTGATTATTTTACTCCAGCACAACCGTGTTGTTCTTACAAAGCAAGCACTCTAAACTTTGTGTGTAATCTTGTAGTTTGTCATATTGTGAGTACGACATACATTCAAATTTCTCCTTTGTGCTCTGTCTCTTCCCATCCTGCAACTGTCTCTGGAGGGGAGTGGGTGAAGATTGGAGGTCTGCAGTGGGGGAGCCCTGGGGTAGGAGCAGAGCAGTAAGCCCTGCTTGATGGGCTTGATAAAGTCTTTTTGCAGGTTGCATCTGGCGCACAGACTGGAGGTTGCTGACTGCTGGTTTAGAAATGATCCCATTTGATATACAAAATGTTGTTTGTTTTAATATTTATTCACCAAATGGACAGTAATAAATGTCCAGCATGTCAAAGATGAAAGTAGTGTATTGGATAAATGGGCAGAGTATCAGAAACATAGGACCATAGGAAGTACCAGACTACATCAACTTTTGGTCCATCTGCACAAATACCTAGTGTCCAGCAGTGGCACCAGATATTTGAGAAAGATGCCAGAATCTCCATACTAGATAGATCTGGGGAAAAGTGTTTTTATAAAAGTTTAATCTAATAGGCAGCTATTAGCTTATGAGTTTTTATATTGCTTCCAAAACTCAGTATTAGTATTCATTACTATAATTCTGGATATTAAAACACAGAAGTATAGGAATACATATATGATGTGTATGTAGTTATGTATGTAAAACAAAGATAGTTTTTCCTACTTTAGTTATAGTCACATTTTATCAGGTTAGGGATCTAAATGACACATTCTTTATTTGCCAATGAAAATATGTTCATAAACTAGGAATGATTCTACACAAATATTTTGCCTGTATTTGGGCTTCTGATTGATATAAAATGATAACACATAATATAAAATGTGATTTATGTTCTTAAGTATTCCAAGAAAAAAAGATAACATCCAGAATTAATATTATAAACACTAGTTCGTAAAATATCAAGTTTCTTCAAAATGAATGGAATTAAAAATACCATATAATTTTGGTGTTATAACACTGGTTTGTAATTTAAATTAGTATTGGTATCAAAAGACATGAAGCCTATGCTTATCTCCAGGTACTGTATAAATTTAGAAATGCCTTTCCTGCTTGCTTTATTAATGTACTGATTTAATTAATAATGACTAGGCCCTTATAAACCAAGTAGTGGCAACTATATACAATCGATTCACCAAGACACTGCCTGATGGATTAACACTATGTGGAGTTTTCACAAGGGATTATCACCATGATGTCATGAGCTGTCAGGTAGGTTGTTTGAGATGTATTGCTGTGTGTCAATAGCAAGTTTTGTATTTGGGGCTTCCCATGGTGGCAACTAGTGCCTCCAGGCTCTGGCTTCAGTGCTGGAAACTCCAGCAGCACTGTGAGTGGAAGCCCTGTCACTGTGACCAGAGACCAGGGTTTTTGTTGGGATGCTGGCTGCTGCAGTGGGAAATGCTGCTGTACAGCAAGAACTGGGGCAAAAGTCTGCAGGCTGGATGATCCAAGTTATGGGCCAGGTACTTGACACCTCTACCTCAGAGAGTGTAGTTCTGACTATGTGTGGCATGGCTATATAAGGTTCAAAAGAATTCTGAATAGACTTGCCTACCAGAAATAATTTAATCTGCACAATTTATGGTGGTTATGATGGACACCTGTAATAGTTGAAAAGAAATCCATCAACAGCCTTTGAGCACCCAATGGTGCAAGGGCAGTGAAGTAAAAGGGACTCTCAGCTCCTTTCCTCCTACTCATCCTCAGCAATGAAACCTAACTCTAATACTGATTCTAACTTCCTCAAATTCCTTTGTCTCTTGTGCTGAGCTCAAAGCAGAGGTGTCTCAAGAAGGTAAAAAGAGTTAGAAGAGCACTGTGCAACTGAAACACTCCATTCCCTGCCCCTCACCAGCAGACATGTAATATCTAGACTCAAGAGTACAAATTGCAGGATGTTGGTATATATCCTGGCAAGAAACTAAAAAGGACTTGAGTGAGTCCCTCTGTTGCTTTAACTACCTTAAACTAAAAGCCAAGATTCAGCCTAGATAAATAAATAGCTCTCCACCCCAAGCAGGGTGCTTACCATGAAATAAGTCCTAGGGACTATAAAATCTAGTAGAGACTTCGCTATTGATATTATATAGAAGGAGTTTTATACCCTCAATGAGGATGGAGTATAAAACTATCAGATAAATAAGGCTAAGTTTTTTCTAAAATATTGTAGTTGTAATATAGTATTGCCATGACTGTTACAGTTTTAGAAACTCTGGTAGCTATTCAATGAACTAAAACTAATATTTGTAAAGCTCTTAGCATCAGGAAGCTGCTTGGAGAGGAGTCTTCCTTGAGCAAAATTTGGTCAGCACCCTGAGGCATACAACAGGGTGGTGGGGAGAAGATCTGGTGCTCTGGGATCATCCTAGGTGAGACCAGGTTTTGTTGCAAAGCTTAAAAGTAAGAGGTCACAAAACTTTATTTTCAGGTACTAGTGACAGCGCCTCAATGTTTGGAAATCTTGTTGCCGTCTCCGCATTGCCAGAAATGGGTGAAAAGGATACGATATATTATATTTGATGAGGTAGGTATCTTTTAACAATAAGCAAGCAAGCAAATGAGTCACAGATTGGCACTTGCTGGTGCCAATGTGTATTTTGAAAAGTTCAAATCTCAAAGCATATAGTTGTTGTTAATTGTCTGAGCAAAACATTTCCACTTTTGTCTTGAACTCCCATAGTCCTTATATATCCTGGCAAGGAAACACAAGTGTCTGCAGTGGCACTCTATTACAGACACTTATTTGCAGTTGGAGCAAAGCTGGAAGTGGAGTAAAGTTAATAGAATTTAACTCTGCATTTCCCCCTCTAGTAATCTCTTAAAAAGTGTATTGTCTTTAGTCTCCAGTGAAATAAGTGGATTATGAAGACATTTTAGGGTTTTAATTACAAACATAGATTCATAAATGTTTGGGTCAGAAGGGACCTTAGAAGATCATTGAGTCCAACCCTCTGCCTTGGGCAGGAAAGAGCGCTGGGGTCAGACGACCCCAGCCAGGTGCATGTCTAGCCTCCTCTTAAAGACCCCCAAGGTAGGGGAGAGCGCCACTTCCCTTGGAAACCCATTCCAGATTCTGGCAACCCTTACCATAAAGAAGTTCTTTCTGATGTCTAATCTAAATCTGTTCTCTGTCAGTTTGTGGCCATTGTTCCTAGTTACTCCAAGGAGTGTCCTGGTAAACAGAGTATCTCCTATTCCTTGCCAGCCCCCCCCGATGAATTTGTAGGCAGCCACAAGATCACCTCTCAGCCTTCTGCAGAGGCTGAAGAGATCCAGGGCCCTCAATCTCTCGTCGTAGGGCTTTGCTTGCAGGCCCCTAACCATATCAGTAGCCCACCTCTGAACCCTTTTGAGGTCGTCCTTCTTGAAGTGCAGTGCCCAAAACTGGATGCAATACTCCAACTGTGGCCTGACCAGTGCCACATAGAGGGGCAGTATCACCTCCCTGGACCTGTTTGTCATGCACCTCCTAATGTATGATAGTGTGGTTAGCTTTACTGATCGCTTCATCACATTGATGATTTATGTTCATCTTGGTGTCAACAATGACTCCGAGATCTCTTTCTGCTGCTGTGCCACTGAGAAGGTCCTCCCCCAGCCTGTAAGCGTGCTGGTGATTCCTGCTCACTAGTTGCAGGAACTTGCACGTGTCCTTGTTGAGCTGCATCCTACTGTGTTCTGTTCACTTTTCCAACCTGTTCAGATCTGCCTGGATTCATTCCCAACTCTTTAGTGACTTAACTTTACCCCATCATTTGGTATCATCTGTGAATTTGGACAGAGTGCTTTCTATACCCTCATCCAAGTTGCTGATGAAGACACTGAACAGCACAGATCCAAGGACCAAGCCTTGTGGGACTCCACTGCCCACATTTTTCTAGGTCAATACCAACCCATCCACCACCACTCTCTGGGTACTACGCTTAAGCCAATTTGCCACCCACCTGGCCGTGTAATCATCTGTGTCACAGCCGCTCAGTCCATCTGTGAGAATAGGATGAGATACCATATCAAAGGCTTTCTTAAAATCCAAGCAGATGACATCTACCTGGATTCCTGCATTTCAGAATATATAAATTTACCAAAATTTGTAAAAAAAAAAAAAAAAAAAAAAAAAAAATATGCAACATTAACTCCCAAAGTTGACATCTAAAATAAAATTTAGTGTTAGACTCTGTCGGTTCACTTCTAGGTGTGTTTTAAGTGCCCAAAATGTTATAACAACATACCTGCTACCATATTATTTCACATACCACATGCCCCAAAATAGGGGACACATCTTATTTTGGGAAGGCAGATGAAGGAAAAAAATGATTTTTCTAGAGTAATGGCTCAGTCCTGACTATATAGTGTACTCTGCAGCATCAGCAAAAGCTAGTTTTAGCCATTTTGCATCCCTTGCTGAACTGAAAGCAGCTTTTGGCTCAGCGCTTCACTGCCAATCTAGCAGCAGTGTTGCTGTGACCCTGGACCATGAAATCCACTCTTCATTCTTATGGCTGGCAGTGAGAGAGTCAGGGCTGTCACTCATGCTTCCTTTCCAGCACAGAAAAATGCCAAGTTAGCCTAAAAGCACCCTCAATTCTCGCCCGCCACATCTTTGATGTTAAATATATAATAGGAAGGCTGCCTTTCCGTCCTCTTGGACACGGTTTCCTGTTGTACACTGGCCCCGTTCTGTAATGGGTGTTTCTGTGCACCCCAGCCTTATGGGCTGTGCATGGCTCCAACCACCCCTTTACCACACCCCAAGCCTCACTGA